GGGTATGACTCGTATTGGGAACGACGTAAATATTATAAAAAGTAAAAAATTTGCACTTCCGGCCGAGTTATATGAAAAAAGTACGATTTTCACTTAAGCTTTAATCAACGAAAGTACGTTCGCCGTCCACCCACTAGGCGTCGTGTCTGTTGGCAAGATGTGAGTCCAAGCTCTCCTAGAGTTTTACTCTGATTGAATTGAAACTTTGGAAAACTATTCTTGAGATCAAGAAGAAGAAAAAATAGTTTTATTGAAATTTCAAAAACCATCTAACACTTTGAATAGAGCTAATTTTTTCGCTCTACCAAATTCACAATAACAAAAATAGCAATACTTTCTTACTTTTAACTCAATTAATAAATAAGTTGAATCCAAATGATGGACTTTAAGACCAAGAAAATCTTTTCCTAAACAGAGTTCATTAAATGAACAAACATTTTCGTCAAACTTTTAAATATTTCTGTCACAATCTCCTCTATACGCTATATGTTGTCTATATATTAATTAATTTATTTTTTTTTTTTTTTGATTTGTCTACATGTGCAATGCAAAGAAGAAGGTATCGAAAGTCCATAAAATATATGTATTCTTGAGCAACGCTTGTATCGGTATCAGGCCATATCTCTTTGCCTTTACCTTAAATCATTGAATCGGAGAAAATTCTTTTCCTTTTTCTTATCGCTGCCGTTAGATCAATTCCCAAGGATCAGATAATTCCCTAAAAAATCAGGGTTTTCCCTATAATCCGTCAATATCGCCTATAAACATATACGCCTTTAATTTGTGCAACTGCTTGGTAATCGTTAAAAATGTGTTAAGCGATAGATAACGAAACGATTTCCGTTCTATTTTGTAATCAGATAGAATATATATGCATAAGTCAATGATTTTGATTATTAAAAAATATCAATGCAAATCGGAAATATTACAACTAATTTCTGGGTCTTAGTATATTTTAAAGTACATATATATATATATATATATATATATATATATTAGAGATATTTTATACTTTTATAGCTATAAGAAGGTTTTTTATGTACCTGGCTAAGAGTGTTCGATTTGGCAGCATATGTTGCTTAAGGATTATGCTATACATAATTATATTATAAGAGTAGTAGTAGTAGTAGTAGTAATTTTCGAAAGTTTCCTAAATAAATGAAATTAAAAAAAAATTCGTTTTAAGCCGACTATAATTTCGTATTTGTTCTACTTTTATATATCCCCTATTTTGTATTATCGGAGGAACCATTCAGATGATGCGAACGAATGTTGGTGAGTGCGTGAGTTTTAAAGCGCTGGAGAAATGCAACTTATTTCAATGAATTTGGGGGGAAAAAAAGGCGGAGTTTTGTTTACATTAAATCAAATACTAAAAATTTATTACGTTTCTCTATGTAAGCAGTGTATGTATGTGTGTGTGTGTGTGTTTGTATGTGTATTGATGTGTGTGTTAATGTGTACGCGATGAATTTACTTTACTGTTGTTGTGCGCGTCAGAGGCGCAATTTTCAAGCGATTGGCAGGCAGGCTGCCAGGCGACCGACAGGCAGTAACGTAATGTTGTCGTTTTGTATGTTTGAGAAGAATTTTTTTTTTTTTTGATTTTCTTTTTTCTCTTAAACGTTGCTGTGGTATTGCTGTTCTTTAATTAGATCGAAACGTATGTATGTGCGTATGCTGTGTTGTTCATTTGTTGAAAAATTGTTTCAATTTCGCCATATTTGCTCATATGTTACGTATGTTATTTTTACACTTTATACATTTTTATTTTCTTTTTTTTTTTTTTTTTTTTTTTTTAATTTATATATAAAAAAATTTTTAATTACATTATTGCTTTATAATTTTTTAAAAATTAATTATAAATAAAAATTAATTAAAAATAATTATTATATATATATATATATATATATATTATATGTAGTTATGTTTTTCATTTTTCATTCGAAATAGTTTTCACATTCGTGTCTTAAGCATAAATTGTATAGGAACCATATGAAGATAATTGAAAGAAATTCGCTCTAAAATCGTCGGTCATTAAATATACATTTTTATCGCAGTCTCTTCTACGTTCACTGTTGATATTATTAAATGCTCTTGTTCGGCTCACTTGGTTAAGAGTTTTTCTCCTTGCGCCATAATTGGGTCATTTATTGCATTCACCTGAGGTGTGATATTCTTTGGCCGAAAGTGCTCTGTTTTGGTTCATTGTTTTTATTCATTCGACACCTCATTTGTTAATAATAATTGCTTGTGGGATAATTTTGGTTTTCTTTAAAATTTTTTTTTTTTTTTTTTTGTATAATTTTTACGCTTAAATTCTTTGCCATTAAATTTGTGATTTATTATGAAAAGAATTTTTCTAAAAATAAATTATTTTGCCTATTTTTAATTGCTTTCCTTTTGTTAACTAAAAAGAAAGCAGATCGACGATCATCTTTAACATTTGATAATTAAAAAAAAAAAAAAAAAAAAAAAAATAGAAAAAAGTTGTCTTTTGTTTAATTTTCTGAAGGACATTGTCGATCAAGTTGAAAGAAAATTATATTCGTTTTAATGAGCTGCACCTACTTTCGAAAACTGTACTCCATTCTGAAAGTTGCTCTACTTCCTTATCGCCCTTTTTATATCCTTTAGTCCTATATATGCTTGCGTACTTTACTCGTTCTTATTACTGGAAGGAGAGATTGCGTGAAGAGAAACTCGGATGTGTTCGCTCATAAGTTTGTCTGACACACATACGCTATTTTGCCTAAAAATCTTCATCTTCTTCTTCCATCTTTGTAAAAACCTGGCATATTTTTTGCCTTATAAAGGCTTGGCTTTCATAAGCACCTTTGCGAGAGGAAGGCCCGGAGCTAACAAAAAATTCTTAAAAGAAATATATCTTCTGATCGACCGTATAAGGGTTTATTTTACGCTTAAACGGCAGATGGCAGGTTTATGCCTAGGTCTCCCATCCAATTTGAAATGCTGAAAGGTTTTTCTTCAACAATTTTCTTACAGCACTGAACAAAATGAGTAATTTTATCTGTAATGTAAAAAGGAAGGTGCGATTGTAAAAATGGTTCGATCAAATCCATTTTCAATAGCTGAAAAATGCAATTTGTTACTTGAACAAACTAGCACAGGGACATGTATTAAATAAATAGACGTGCGGACAGACTTCCTGAAATTGATTCGGAAAATGTTCGTAAATTGATTGTTTTAATAAAAAGTGAGTCTGTCGCAAGTCTTTCCAAGTCCGCACCTTACACCCTTATCCCACATTCGGTGTAAGTTATCGAAAGAGATTTATATATATATATATATATATATATATACATATATATAAATAGATATATATATATATAAACATATATATAAATCTTCTTTGCTTTGTATTTCTGTTCTTATAAAACATTCTATCCATCTCGGACACATGTCACTGTAATGATGTAAAAAACTATTTTGTTAATTGCAGGCGTGTGTCGCTAGGTATCAGCTATGAGCAAGTCTCGTATTGAAGGTTAGCGCAGTTAAGCTACAGGCGCTGCAGCCTTTCACCTTACAAAGATGATAACGCACTTTTTCGAATTTGATTTCTTGACGGCGAAATTAATCGAGTAATCGTCATCTCATTCTCTGAATTAAGCCGCGAAACTGAATTTAACTGTAAATGAATTGAAATATTCTGCATCTATTCCAATAGCAACAATACAACAGTTAGGATATGCAGAGTAAGCTCTTCTTCGTATGCTGCTTTGACATTTTCTCTGGCTTCCTACAGTTAACTTCCTAATGTTAACTGTTTTTTTTCTTTTTTTTTTTTTTTGAGAAGTTCTAAGCGAAAATTGAGGCCGTCGCTATTTAAAAAAATGTAGTGAAAATGAATGTTAGGTGCAAAGTTTAAGATATTATTATGATTACATTGACCGTAATCAGCGAAAAAGTTCTGCTTCGCAAAATGTTGCAAAAGTATTATCTATCTTATCTTAGATCTTATGATAATAGAGACATTAGAAATTTGATTTGATCACATTTGATACGAACTCTTGACTCGCTCCGATTGTCTCCAATGAGCAATGTTCTGCAATCATGTGTGGTCCTGTTTAGCTAAATTTTTGAATTCGCTTTAACGCGCATCAAGGTCTTCTCCTCTCTAAAGCTAATTAAACATTTAATAGCGTTTGTTTTGTTTGATCAGCAAAATCTTGAGATTTTCTCGACAATCGCCTATGAAACGGAATAACTCAAAATAAAAAAACAAAAAAACAAAAAAGAACAAGAAGAAGAAGAAGAAGATATTCTTAACTTAACTCTGAGTGTAAACATTTCGTTCTCGTTTATAAAAAAATTTTATTTTTATTTTTTCGAAAAAATAATTTTCACACAAAAACGTAAATTATCACACATACACCCACACATCTGGTGCCATAAAATATCGAACATACTCACATTTATAACATTGCCTGCAGATATTACAGAAAACAAAACACATATGCTTGCAAAGTCTTCTTATATATTAACCCATTGAGGTAAAGCCCACAAGTGCCTATATATGCATATATATATATATATGAAAGATATATAGATGTATGGATGGACGAGTTGCTCATTATGTGAAACCACTTGAACTGAATTAAAACGAAAAAATCAGAGAGCAGTTAATTATTGAGATTAATTTATGCTATGAAAGAAATGAGCAAAAGCCCCCCCAAAAATAACTGTAAAGAGAACAATGCAAAGTCACTCGAAAAGGATCGCCTCGTATATAGAGCAATTTAAATGGGATTCATTTTTGTGTGTGTGCAACAAATGAAGCGTAACTAGAGCAAACAATTAGTTCTAATAGTAAAACGTTAAGACAAAGACGTAATACACGGAATATAATTCAATTACTGATAGATAAACAAGACGTGTCTTCTTAATTCTGAACGATTTAAAGCGATATATATCTTAATCTTTTATATATTTATTTATTTTTTTTTTTATATAAGAAACCGCTTTAAGTTTAAAAAATGATTAAAAGTGAAGAGTTTGGCGATAGCAATTGTTGCACTAGTATTACTACACATCAAGGCTTACATCAGTTAAATGCCAATCATTCTAGTTTGTATCGCAATTTATCATCGAATATATTAACTTCTACAAACTTTCAACCGGTTATGTATGGCGGCAACGATGGCCCGGCCGCCTCGTCTCATTCGATTATGCGTATGAATCAAAATTCACCGGAATTGGTTGACGAAAAGCCACCAATATCTAGTGTAAATTATTTGGAACGTGCGCGCAAATGTTTCTCGTCATCAATGATGAGTCAAGTGGAGACAATGAATCAATATAGTTTGACGTCTTTGAATAGCATGAGCACACCGCCAACATCTTCCAGTCCCATTACGTATGGTGTGATCTTGCATAATGGTCCGACGCATGCATCGCATACGCAAACAACCGGACCTCCTGCACGCCCGTCTAATGATTCGCCATCTAATCAAAATTCCGAACAACATTATCCAGCTGCCAACAATCCAAATAGTAAAATTGTTAATTTACTACCCACAACCATGCTAAGTCAGCCGCTAAATCATCACTACACGTCAACGATTAAATTTTGCAGCAGTAAATCGAATAGTTCAGAATATGATCATCACCATCAACAGAATGATAATCTCTCAAATAATCAATCAACGGAAAGAGATCATCATATGAACAATTCAAATACTAGTGAACTTTTATCCCATTCCTTGTTACGGTCCGCTGCTTCAGGTGGCGTCATCGCCAGCACGCATTTACCGTCCTCAACTAATACGCTGACCTATGCGACAAGTTCATCGCCGACAAAGCTATTAACAAATAATCAAAGCGATAATAAAGCAACAACTATAATGCAGCAACATCCTGCACAACAACTGACAAATTCCTCGCAAGAATTATCTTCGCCTGATACTACGAAAAAATCAGGCACGCGACGTTCAGAGAAACCAAATATAAGTTACATAAATATGATTGCAATGGCAATTAAAGACTCGCCGTCCGGAAAGCTCACTTTAAGTGAAATCTATAGCTTTTTGCAAAAAAAGTAAGTCAACTATTGATTATTAAAAAAAAAAATGCAATTCAAAGATTTTTAAATCTGCAACCTATTGCTTTCAAAACCTATCTAATGTATATGACTTAGTCTCTAAAGAGAATTGTTTATACCTGTTACCGCTTGGGTATTGATCTTGTGGTATTCATTTTCATTGCTACGATATCATAACAAATTATTCCTTCTTCCATCTTTTCTATAAAAAATTTTGAAAAATAAAAAGATTTTATATATATATATGTTCGCATGAATATTGCATATCTAAAGTAATGTAGTGTAATGTAAGTGAAATGAGGTGAGACAGAGAGAGAAAGAGAGAGAGAGAGAGAGATTGCGTGAGAGAGAGGAGGACATTTTTAGCGGGAAAATAATAATAAGTTCAGAAATGTCGGTTCGTGAAGAACCGACCCACATAACAAAAAAACAAATATTTTTTATTTACTTTTCGAGTCCACATTCACCGTGAGCTCAAAAAGCGGATTGCATGCTCAAATGTTGCAGTATCTTAGTATCCTTTTTTTTTCATCATTTCTTCACCTGTGTCACTGCCGCCTATAGTGCCACATTTTCCTTAGTCTTTCCCTTCATCTCTTCATCCGTCCAGGAGTGAAGAAATGCTTTTAATAGAGAGAACGAGTACAAGCCACGAAGAAGTAGAAGCACTTTTGACTTTATTTGAATATTATCCGATATATGTTAGACGACGCGCTTCGTTTTGTTTAAAAAGACGAGCATCTAATCCGTTTTCCCAATCGCTTGCACATGTTTATTGTCATCAAAGTTATTATAGAATCGTTCTAGGATAGGTTTTATAGGATTTCTTGATTGCAAATTTTTTTTTTTTTTTTTGACTTAAAATGAAAGGAAATATCATAGTTGTTTAGCAATCAGTAGAAATATTCTCAATTAGGTAATTCAATCGCTAGATTCCGCTTTACTTAAATAGCTTGGCTAATGAAATATTTTCTTCAGCTAAGCCCCATACACGGCTTCTGATCTTATAGTTCGGGCTTTAGCATATAGCTCAGGTACGTTACGCATTCGCTAACTTGTTTTCCTTTGTATCTGGCAAGCATTCAATTTGAATTTGGCAAAATATTAAAATCGTTTTTTTAAAGATCTAAGGAAATAGTAAGTCAAGTAAGTGTTTCAACAATAAGTTTTAATTGCAAACGTTATCGTTAAGGAAAAAAATAAATGTTAAAAAGACTTAAGTGATGTAGAACCTTTTTGCAACGGAATTGAATCGTCGTAACAATCGAATAAAATACTCTTAATATTTACAATAAAGAGCCTTTCGAGCTAATTTCGCATATGTGAGTATTAAAGTAATCGTTTTACTTTGAAATTTTAATTGACTCTCATACATATTTCGGATACGCCTCTCGTTAATGTCTGGATAGACATGTCGTTCGTTAAACAAAAAAAAAAAAACAAAGAAAAGAAAATGATTAGCCTGAGAGCAATTTCAAGAAATGAAATTTTTATACTCACCATACCACCGCATAATTACGGATTTACTCGTTTTGTCATAGTATCGCTCAGCGTCAAATTCTGAGTCGATCTAAAAATGTCCGTCCATGTCTGATGGTTTGCATGCATGCATGTATGTGGTTGACACGCTAGCGCTTGTACTTCACAAAAACATTTGAAATTCTTGCATACATTGAAAATGAGCGAAATCGGTCAAAGGACACGCCCACAGTAAAACTTAAATTGAAAACACGTCTATTTGCCTAAATAAAAATTTCCACATGAAAGATAGAAGGCTGCAAGACTCAAGGACACTACTGTTCATATTCAAAAATGATAATTAAATGGCCTACGGCCACACAAACTTAAGTAATAAGTGATAAAAATTTCAATTTTTTTTTTTTTTTTCACCTCCTTAACATTTTCTAGTTATTACTGGAAAGCTAAAGTAGACTGAATGAATGTTGAAAGTTATTCTGTTCATTCTTTACATAAAGGTACATTATCTTTAGTTAGAAAAAGTTCAATGCACTCACCCATTACTTTAAATTACCAAAATTTACTTGACTTAGTTTTTCCTATTTTTCTCCTTATTATCCTTAAAAGTCGCCGTAGCAGTCTAAAAGAAATAGGTTTGTGACAATTTTTCTTGGATGAAAGGAAACATAACAGTATTGTAATACTAGTGTTAGACATATATGTTAGTATTAAAACAAAAAAAAAAAAAAAAAAAAAAAAAAAAATGGAGACACGAGAGGCTTTCCCGCGGCACGCAGCACAACCGGTACAAATTTGAATCTAAAGAAAATCATTGAATATCGATTCCTAGATCTCTAGAAGATCATGAAAGAGGAGTTTTTAGATATATTCAATTTTGTCGACTGCAATTTCCCGGCAGGCATTCATTTGGTACAGACATTCTGGTCGTAACGGGCTTGGAAAATTGTCAAAGAAAAATTTTCTTACTAGTAATGGATTTTCCTTACATATGCTAAGAGGTTTAAAGCATCTTTTATATAAGCAATAAAGAAAAAAATTTATAGTGGTGCAGTGCCAGTAGTAGTAGTAGTAGTAGTAGTAGTAGTAGTAGTAGTAGTAATAGTAGTAGTAGAAATAATATTGCATAGCATAATATATACATATCATGATCTATGTTATATTGCAAGATATTAAAAATCATTCAACTCTAGACGGATATAACTCTGTTAGTTTTTTTTCTTTTTTTTTAAACAGAGAAATGCCTTAACCTTATATGCCTTAGGTGTATTTGATTCTTTTCAATAAAGTTTAACATCAATCGATCAATCGATGATCGAATGATTTTTTAGGCGTAGGTGACGCTGAGCTAAGACTAAATCAAATACGATGGCAGTCTTAAGGCAAATTTGAATTATTCAAGTGTTAGGAGTTTTCCAAATATAACAAACAATGATCATTTGTTGTTGCCATCGGTGAGGTTTCGTTGATTTATATGTATTGGTATGTAGCGTATATATCTCACAGCATCTCGGATGCATACTGCATGCATTTTGGTGCAAAAACGTCATGAGGCAGCTCGATCTGGCAAAAAAAGAAGAAGAAGAAGAAGAAGAAGAAGAAAAAAACAAAAACAATTCTATATATGTGGATATGATTGTTTGCGAACAATGCTACTATTACAGTAAGACGCACTTAGTGCTTTGATTAGTTAGTTGATCAGTCATGTCTAATGGGTCAAATGTTGCTTAAAGTTCACGGAGACTGATCCACGAAATACGATTTGGCTCAAGTCCACCACAAGAAACTAAAAATGATACCCGAAAACGAATCGAAAAAAAAGGATTCAATTCAAATAAACGCCGGCATGTAAATTGACACAAACATATATATATATATATATATAGAATAAATAAAAAAAGGCTTAATACTTTTTAATAAACTATTCTTTATTTAGCTTCAATTATAATAGCCTTTGGACGAACACTATCTACGATCGATTTACAATTGATTAAATCACATAGGCAAAATAAACCCTCAGTCACTTGTGTGCCTTCTTTTTTGTATAAATTCGTTCATTTAGACGGGAAGAGGATGAAGAAGAATAGAATGTGTCGTTATATTTTTATAACAAGTCGTTCCCATGGTAAAATGACTGATGCGAGCTTTACACCACTTGGCGGTGGTATGTAAGTTGATTATAGACGAATTTTTTTATTTTTTTTATTTTTTTTTTTTTTTGTTGAAACGCTTTCGATTAAAATCGATACGACGTTTATTTGCTTAAGGAATCTGAGATCGGTGAAATGTGCTCGTAAATATGAAACCTTTTTACCAGTGCGTACAAGTGATGGATATTGGATACCTTACATTAAATGCACACGCAAATACACTAACAAATTCGGTTAACATAACCCCAATTAAATTCTCTCAAATTTATGAAATTCTAGAGAATTTCGGTAATGATTTCCAACGTCTCCTCCAGTATTTTGTTCCGAAAGTTCATAATGATCCAACATTATGTTTATTTTCGTTAAAGTAAAAACAAAAAAAAAAAAAAAAAAAAATTTAAATAAATAAATAACAAACAAAAAAAGAAAAAAA